CCTGCTTCTCCCTCTCCCACTCCCCCTGCTTGTGTTCCCTCTCTCTCTGTGTCTCTCTCTGTCAAATAAATAAAATCTTAAAAAAAAAAAATTAACCACAAAAGAGCAAAAACAAACTTCAAAAGATAAAATCAAATAGGACAGAGCTTAAATTTTGTATATGCTTGAAAAGAGAGTATTGACAAATAAGAGCATTCCATGAAAAATGGAAATCTGATTAGTACTTTTAAACTTCAGCAATTCACGGATTAAATCATGTTGACCAAGGAGGACTAAATTCCAAGAGCCTGGAAGGTTGGTCCTGGCCTTCTGAGTTTATCATCCTCTACTCCTTTCTGCTGCCACTCTGTTCCTCAGCGGTGTGACACAGCCAAACTGGTAGCCAGGTGATGTCTGACAAATAAGAGTGCCCTGGCAGGCTCAATCAACATCACTGTGAAGTGTGAACAGGCCTATAAACTCAGCAGTTAGACCTACCTAGGCCGTGGCACTGGGAACAGAATGACTATCACCAGTGCACCCGTCCACTGGCTGGTAACTGTTGGACATTTTGCCACCCGAGAGATAATCCCTCCTAGGAAATAATGCAATAGGGACTACTAATTGAAGGTTAGGCTTTTTCCAGAGTTTAAATCCAAGAGTGTCAGTGCTGAGGTGGTGGTGTTTAGAGATTATTCAATACTCTCTTCTCTCAATTATATTCAACTGAGTAGGGATTTATCAGCCATTGAATGTATGGCTATTTGGAGTCCTAAAAACTCTGGGAAATGACATCAACAGCAGTCCATGACTGTTTACAAAGGGCTTGCACGTGTACCTCACAGGAATGCCATGATTTAGGTAGGGCTGATGGTTATCTCTGTTTTGTATAAGAAACTGAGTCTGAGGAAAGTTAAGTGACCAGTACAAGTCACACAACTAACAGTGGAGCTGATACTAAAATCTGTAACTGCTGACTATAAACACCAAGCAGTAAGGATGTGCAGCTTCACCCTCAAACATTTAACATCTATGAATAGACCAAAAATTCTTAAAAGAGACAATGTAAATTATGAGAAAAGTATGAAAATTGATTAAAAAATCAGTTTATGGGCGCCTGGGTGGCTCGGTCGGTTGAGCGACTGCCTTTGGCTCAGGTCATGATCCTGGAGTCCTGGGATCGAGTCCCGCGTCAGGCTCCCTGCTCGGCGGGGAGCCTGCTTCTCCCTCTGACCCTCCCCCCTCTCATGTGCTCTCTCTCTCTCTCATTCTCTCTGGCTCAAATAAATAAATAAAATCTTAAAAAAAAAATCAGTTTATGTGGGGAGAAGAGTGAGAAAACCCTTTTAAAATTGGTTAAATTTATATCCTTATGCAAAGCCTACTTCGGAACTAATAGCACTCTCATGTTAAAATAGCTCTACAGATTCAGTATAGGAAAATCTTATTTATTTGTATTCTATCCAACTTATATGTGTGATCATTGAAGATAAGGTTAGATTGAAGTTTAAGTTAAATCCGGGGGGGGAAATCTGCAGATCGGAAGTGACCCAGAAAAGAGTGTGAAGTAAATCCATTGAAAAGAATGGACATTTTAACTTGTTTAACATAAACAAGTCTTTTCAAGACTCTAAAAGTGTGAACACACGTATAGATGATGTGCCAATTAGGAAACGTTCTTATATGTGTTTAAAACATTTAGTCCGTTGGCATGTATTTTACAAACAATATTCTATTCTTTTATCAGATGGGCTATAACTAATTGGTAAAACTTAAGGTTTTATCTTTAGGCTTATTCTTTACTTTTTCTTTATCCTTTAGGCTTATTCTTACTATCAACAGCATTATTTTCAAAATCTATTTATTTATTTGATTTTGCTTTAGCCATGGTGATTTTATTTTTATTGTTTTGCAGAATGTATCTGTAATTTTCTGAGACACAGCAAAAGAAAACTCTAATTTACTGAATAGAAATCTTTTTGATTGCTGAGAGAAGGCTTTGGTGGGATGAATGTATTAAGCGAGAATTACCTGAATAGAGAACAGTTTCCCACATATGAGCTGATTCAGAGAGATAGGCCCATTTAAACTGATTGGGAGACCAAGCAGGCCTGGCTACCACTGGGATAAGGAATGCCTCTCAGCATGGAGCTTTTTCTCTAAGTGTGAAGTTATACCTTCCTTCCATGTGTAAGAAGTGAGGATATTCGGGCGCCTGGGTGGCTCAGTTGGTTAAGCGACTGCCTTCGGCTCAGGTCATGATCCTGGAGTCCCTGGATCGAGTCCCACATCGGGCTCCCTGCTCGGCAGGGAGCCTGCTTCTCCCTCTGACCTTCCCCCCTCTCATGTGCTCTCTGTCTCTCTCATTCTCTCTGTCTCAGATAAATAAATAAAATCTTTAAAAAAAAAAAAAAAGAAGTGAGGATATTCATCTAGTGCTCAGAAGTGCCTCATAAATACTACGGTCTCAAAAGTTTCTTTCTTTTCTCCCCCTAGTTTTATTGAGATATATTTGACATAAAACACCACTAAGTTTAAGGTGTAAAGCATGATGACCTCATGTCAAAAGTTTCTTGAATAAGTGATTTACTTCTCAAAATAAAATTTTCTCTGAAAATACCACTCCCCTCTAAATTTCAGCAAAGCCCAGAAGTACTCTTTTGGGAGTGGGGAGGCAGATGCAGTTCCATGTCCACCATTTCCAGGAGGACTACCTGGTTTAGGCCTCATATCACACAAAAAATGTCTTTTGATGACATTACCTCTAAATGAAGTTTTACAAAGTCATATAGACAAATGGGATTGAAATAGGAATGAGACAGAACACAGTATATGTCATTCAGTTTTAAATTAGTGCAGCATTACTGAACTTCACTATCTGGGGTAAAAGTAAGAAATAATTTAAAAAACATAATGATCTTGCACAATTACATTTTATTTTCCTTTTGGTTGAAGTATTTTTATATATCCTTATTTTAAAAAGTTTCTACTATTGAAAAATAACACACAGAATTTGAACGGATAATTTATAATTACAATTTATATTTTATAAACAAGCCAGGAGCCTAAAAGAGACCCTGATTCCCCTCTGTCATTTCTCTCTTGTCTAAAACTTCACTTACCCCCCGTGAACAGAGTTTATTCCTGAACGTGGAAGATAGAACCTCACGAAATATTAACACTACTAATTAAATACTCAAAGAAGAGTTTCTCATTGAAAACATCAATGAAAACTCTGTAGCGACCTTTGGATTTTTGTAGTTTCCAAAATAAACCCAAATATGTAAAAAATTGGCAGTTGGTCTTCTGGTTAAAAGAAGCTGGTCAAAGACACATAATCATACATCTAGGACAACAAAGAAAGTAAGAACTTTCAGCATTAAGCACACCAGCAAAAGCCACAAAGGCGTGGCCATAAACTCTCTTTAGTTTTCCTGGGAAGTTGTTATTTCCTAGTTGAGGACCATTCAGCTTTCCTGTTCTATTAGCTTGAAAGGACGCATGGTTATTAAAATGCCAACAAGGTCACGTCTGCATGGTGCTGCTTGGTTGTTATCAGATTTTAATAGCCTACATTTCTCAAATTAACATCTTCTGGTAGGCATCTAATTAAAGATTAAGCCATTCAATTTGAATTTTTATTATTATTTGGCAGCAGAATGTAACGCATTCTTTAAATGCATTTCCCAATCCAAAATGATTTTTCATTACTTTTTATCACACTATGCTTTTTCCTTCTTGGCAAGTAATAGGTCTTAAAAAGACTAATGAGAAGACCCACTTAAAAAGAAAGCAGTTACACACCATGGAAATTTAAAATCAATAATAATAATAGTTATAGTAGCAGTAGTAGTGGTGGTGGCAGTAAACAATTCACTAAGGTCTGACATTTAAGTCTTGAATAGACTTGAATTCAGTATTGGACTTAAAGTCTCTTACCAGGGTTGCAATCTGTAAGAAGTGAGCAGATGGAGAGGAGAACTTTAGAAATTGTTAGGGCTGGACTCCAGTTGTCCTTTAGGATGTCCAGACAGATGACGCCCTGGCTGTTAATATTACAGTGATAGATTCTTGTTCGGAAGGTAACCTAGAAGAAAATGTAAAGTTGTTATGAACAGACATACTTTTTATTAGACAAAATAATCCAAGGGTCGCTGGTTGAACCATATACTTAAATGTTCCTCAGGAACATGAAAAAAATCAATAAACAAAATCATTATTTTAGAATTTGTTATTCTGGACACAAAGAACTAAACCCCAATAACGAAATCATGTCCTTTTGCTTTTGATGAAGAGTCTGATTACTTAACTAATGTTCTGGGGACTGAATTTGCTCTTAGTGCAATTGTAGGAATGTTCGTAAGAGAAAAACTGTGACTTCTAAAAACATTTCAAAGAAAAAATTTCAAAATTAAAAATTTCAAAGGAAACTTGTTGGAGTCCATTTGTTTTAAGGATTTTGTATATTTTAAAGTTGGAAACAGCATGGGAATACTATAAAAAGGACATAAATATTATTTGTCATGGTTTAAAAACATGAATTAGGCATGTATGTAAATAATATACATAGTTTATAAAAATATTAGTTACAGTTTATGAACCTTTTCCTCCTTAAATTCTGTATCTTGAATATAATATTAGCATAACCTATCTCTGTCCTATGATAGCTAGATCACCACTGCACTTTGTTTAGGTATAATTTTGAAACATGTTTATAACATTTTTAAAGAACTTCAATTCAAAAGTTAAGTCTAAATCAGTTTTATAACTCTGGTAAAACTCTGTTTTATAAAAGTCTGAGATAAGCAATAATAAGATCTTAACGCTATTTATTAATATCATGTTTATAAGTATTCTCAAAATTTAAGTTGAAATATAAAAAAAATCTTGATGTGTTAAAGAACAGTCTTCTGGTTCCCTAAGTTCAAAATGGCGATGAGCCAAAAAATGCATGGCAGATTTTGTTGCCACCTCTCCAGGGCATCCAGCATCCACTCAAACATCAGATTTACTTAATTTATAAAATCAAGACTCAGAAAGGACAGACAGATCTCGTCTTCTACAATTAGTGAACAACACAGTACCATTCTCAGGCTAGATTAATACTCCTAATAAGAACTACCCTTCTAGGGCACCTAGGTGGCTCAGTCGGTTAAGTGTCTGTCTTCAACTCAGGTCATGATCTCAGGGTCCTGGGATTGAGCCCATGTCTGGCTCCCTACTCAGCAGGTCAGCGGGGAGTCTGCTTCTTCCTCTGCCCCTCCCCCCACTCATGCTCATGCTCATTCTCTCTCTCTCAAGTAAATAAATAAAATCTAAAAAAAAAAAAAAAAAAAGCCCTTTTAGGAACATGCCAGACCTTACAGATAACTTCAACATTCCTTCTACACAAAGACATTCCAAACACCTAGCAATGACGAAGAAAATATAACATTAAAAAAAAAAAAGCATAGCTGAATTTGCACAGAGAATCCCCAGAGGGCAGAATTGAAAACCCAAAATTACCGTAAGTACATGAGCTGACAGTGTAGCTACCAGGGGGGGACCTACGGAAGAGAGAGGGGGGGAAGGATAGTAGCCAGTCTGGATAAAATGGAGGCTTGGGTTTTGATGCCCTCATGGAGAAAGGTGAAACCTTAGGTTTACATGTGGCAAGAGGCTGGAATTGAGAGCCCTTACATAGATTAGGACACTTGAGCAGCTAGTCTTTTAGTAAATGGAGGGACTTGAAAAGATAATGCCTTCTGGGAGAGATAGCAAAGACACTTGCTGGAGAAAGCCTAGGCTCTGAAGTGAGGAGAAAAATGTTTCCCCTGAATTCTAAATCCTGGGCGTATGTACTATGCAAATACCAATTGAAAAAGAGCTTAAATGGCTATATTACTATCAGATCAAAATATATATATATGTTTAAGGCAAAATGAATAAAGATTGCTGCATTATGATAAAATGAACAATTCATCAGAAAAATACAACAATTCTGAATCTGTTGTACTTAACAAGATAGCCAAAAATATAAAAAGTGAAACTTAGCAGAATTATAAGGAGAAAATGACACATCTACAATCAGAGGGACATTTTGCTGCAGTAACTGAAGTCATGCAGACCAAAACGTAATAAGGATACTGAAAATAGGAACAACCAAATTAACAAAATGAAGGGACTGAACGAAGATGAAATTCCACACTCAACAAAGAATATATATTCTTTTCCAAGCACATAAGAAACGTTTATAAAAAACTGATCACATGCTATGCCACAGAGGAAGCTTAACATATTTCAAAGAATTATTAAGACCACAAAGATTCTCCATCAAGTGTTTGGGAAACTGAAAAACACATTTTTCAAATAATTCTTGGATCAAAGAAAAAAAAATCAGCTACATTTATAACTGAATGACAATTGCCAATACCAAACTTTGTGATTTGGCTAAAACAGTTGTCAAAAAGAAATCTATAGTTTCAAATACATAAAGTAGAAAGGAGGAAAGACATTTAATGAGTATTTAAGGAAAGAAAAAGAACAGAGTTAATCCCATAAAAGTAGAAAGAAATACATGAGCAGAATTTAATGAAATGGAGAATACCTAGTAATATTAAAATTCTGCAGAGAGGTCTGAGTGCCTGTTCCTTTAAGTGCTAGATGAAAAGACAAAATATTTTTATGACCCAATGTAAATGATAAGTGGCTTTTATATACAATGTTTTAAAAACCTATCAGATACTGATTGGCTATTCGGAGCTAGTTAATCCTCAAAATAACTCAGAGGTAAGTAGTATTATTGTACCTACTTTTAAAATAAAGAAACTGTAACTCTGTGAGGTGATGGATGTTAACTAAACTTATTGTGGTAATCATTTTGCAATACATACAGAAATCATTATGTTGCGTACCTAAAATAAATAGTGTTCTATGCCAATTATATCTCAATAAAATGGCAGAAAAAAAATAAATGAAGGCACCGAGGGGTTAAAGAACTGGCATGTGGTTGCACAGTTGGTAAGTGGAGGAGCCAGAATTTGAACACAGCTTTTGTGACCCAAAGCCTCATACTCTCCTACTTAGCCTCAATGCCTGTTTTTTTTTTTTTACTTCTAATTTTGAGATAATTATAGATTCATACTGTGTTGTAAGAATAATACCGATGGATCATATATGTTCCTCCATCCACTTTCCCCCAGTGGTAACATCCTGCAGAACTGTAATATGGTATCACAGGAAACTCACACTGATACAGTCCGCTGACCTTTTCCACTTACCACCAGTTTTATATGCACTCATGTACACCTGTTTCTATGCAATTTTATCAGATGTAGATCTGTATGATCACAATTACAGCCAAGATACAGAACAGTTCCTTCACAAACATCCTCTGTGCTACCATTTAACTGGTGCAGTCACTTTCCCACTTTCCTCCCTTGATTCTTGACAAACCACTACTCTCCACTTCATCTCTATGATTTTGTCATTTCAAGAATGTTATAAAAATGGAATCATATAGAATGTAATTTTTTGAAATTGGCTCTTTTTACTTGCACAATTCCCTTGAGATCCATCTAAGTTGTTGCATTATCAAAAGTTTGTTCCTTCTTATTGCTGGGTAGTATTCCATGGTATGATGTACCAGTTTGTTGAACCATTTACTGTTGAAGGACAAATGGACTGTTTCCAGTTTTTAGCTATCACAAATAAAGCTGCCATGAACATGTGTGTGTGTGTGTGTGTGTGAACTTTAGTTTTCATTTCTGAGATAAATGCCCAAAAATGCAATTGTTGGGTTGTATGATAAGCTTATATTTAGTTTTATAAGAAACTGCCATAATTTTTTCCAGAGCATCTGAACTATTTTACATTGCCACCAGCAGAGTGATCAGTTTCTCTGCATCCTTGCCAGCATTTAGTTTACTATGCTTTATTTTAGCCATTCTGATTGGATGTAGTGGTTGGTAACACACTGTGGTTTTAATTTGCATTTTCCTAATTGCTAATGATGTTGAACACTTTTTCATGTGCTTATTTACTATCTGGATACCCTCTTTCTTAAAAAAGGATGTTCATGTCTTTTGCCCATTTTCTAATTAGATTGTTTTTTATTGTTGACTATTTTAAGTGGAGATACTTCATTAAAAGTGAAGTATAGTTGGATGAAAAATAAAGCATGAGTTTGCAAAGAATCTTGTGGATTTTTTGGACAGAGAAGGCTTTACACTTTAATGTTTTATAATACCGATTAAAGGATCTACTTTGGTGATGTTTGTTAACTTTTGTCCCAACAGGTGTTCATAAATAAACCATACTGAATCAAACAGGTAGTTCGATTATTCCTATATTTTAATGTTCTAGGCTCCCACAAATAGTACTTATATATATATATATATATTTTTTTTAAATTTTATTTATTTATTTGACAGAGAGAGAGAGAGACAGAGAGCTTGAGAGGAGGAGGGTCAGAGGGAGAAGCAGGCTCCCCGCTGAGCAGGGAGCCCGATGTGGGACTCGATCCCAGGACCCTGGGATCATGACCTGAGCCGAAGGCAGACGCTTAACGACTGAGCCACCCAGGCGCCCAGTACTTATATATTTTTTTAATTTGTGTATGGTTGACATACAATGTTACATTTCTTTCAGGTGCACAACACAGACATTCAACATCTCTATACATTATGCTCTGCTCACCACAAGTGTAGCCACCATACAATGCTATTAAAGTATCATTGACTATATTCTCTATGCTGTACCCTTTAATTCCTGTGACTTATTCATTCCATAAGTGGAGTCTGTATCTCCCACTTCCCTCCACCCATTTTGCCTATTCCTAACCCCTTTCCCTCTGTTACCATCAGTTTGTTCTCTAAAGGTCTGATTCTGCTTTTTGTTTATTCATTTGTATAGATTTTTTTTAGATTCCACACATAAGTGAAATCATATGGTATTTGTCTTTCTTTAACTTACTTCACTAAACATAATACCCTCTAGGTCCATCCACATTGTGGCAAATGGCAAGATCTCATCCTTTTTTTATGGTTAATATTCTACTGTATATATACATACTACATCTTCTTCATCCATTCACCTATTGAAGGGCTC